TTCTGCTTGTTGGCAAGTGTATCCATTATCTCAATGAGAAAGATAATTACTATTGAAAAATGAAGCACTTAGATCTGTTCCTTCACAGGGTAACAATGTGATCGCCACAGAAAGAAAAGAGGATGAAGAGGAGACCTGGAAGAGGCACGAGAAGCAAAGGCACTTGAAGAAGAAGCCATGCTTGCTTCTTGGCCTGGACTTGTACAAGGAACTTGAACGGGTGTCTCCCCCCCTTCTTGAGAGACCCACGGAGAGGCTGACAATGGCAGGCTTTATCTTGACTTGCATTCTGATTTTGTTCTTTTCCTTGCCTGGCATCTTATGTCCCTTTGCTATAAGTTGCACATAAGAAGGTGTCTTAGACTAATGGCAAGTTTCAGGCCTCGATGGCCCTTCTTTGGGCCAACCCTGTTTGGCTGGGCATTTACCCATGAGGAATGGGTAATTGGGTGCTTGGTTTGAAAATGCTTTTCTTTCCTTTTCTCTTCTCTTTATTGCACAATAATCTCATTAAAGTTCTTTTCTCTTAAAGATCTTTTGCTCTGTAGTATTTTTTTGTATTGATGTGGTAAATGGCAGTACCCATTTTAGAACAGGCTGGTTTGAGTGTCCTGGGTTGTCCCTCATTCTTCCAGGTAAGAGAGACAGTGCCCAGTGTGTAAGGGATTTAAGCTATCTGTGCTTAGTCAGCTTTAGGAAGAAATTTGACTTCCCCATGTCACTGGCTATTTAATCACTAATGTGATTTTTGTTTTTCTGCTTTATTATGTTTCAAATATGGGTTAAGTCTGAAGGGGTCTGATGCTAGGAATCTATCTCTACTACTTGTTTTCAACATATTTGCCATTTGAATTCTTGGAATTATTTGGTTGTTGGTGGAATACAAGATTTAAGACTCGATTCCAAAACATATTCTATTTTTTTTTTATGCATACAAAACTGCAGTACAGGCCAGAGGTGCAGGGGCAGTGAGAAGCTTCACCAGAGACACAGTGGGGAGCAAAACTAGCAGATCAACAAAGTACACTGCTGAGCAGAGCAGCAGGCTAGGCAGGTGAGGTCTGCTGTGCCATGTGGGTCAGCTCCTAAGTCAGGAATGGAACTCGCACAGAAGCAGCTGTGGCTAGCTTGCAATGCTGCGTCCTAACCCATTACATCACCAGAGAGGTCCCCAAAGCATAATTCTAAAGCATAAAAACTTCAATTGCAAAGAATTTAAACACAATTAGTGACCAATAGAAAAGAGGAAAATTAGCATGAAAGTAGTGTCCAGCTAAATACCCAGAGCTCTCTAATCCCTCATGGGTAAATGCCCAGCCATGCAGGGTTGGCCCAACAAAGTACCGCTGAGTCCCCAAAACTTGACACAAGTCTAAGACACCTCCTAGTGTAGAAAAATAGGAAAAGGACAGTAGGGATCTGGAAGGAAAAGAGCAAAAGCAAAATACAAGTCAAGGAAAAGATTGCCACTCTCAGCCCCTCGTGGGTCTCTTACCCATATCTCTTCTCATTCAAGTTTCAGCTTCCATGACCCCAAGTCCCTGGGACAGAGGAATGAGGTGTTGGTGGATCTATTCCAGGACAGAGGGGTTTGTTTGATTTTTAAAATTATGTTTATTGAGGTAGTTGGTTTACATCATCTCATCTTTGGAGGTTATAGATTCAAACCTCCACAGATGCTAATAATACTCCATTGGACCCCCCCTCCCTTCTTACTCACACCCCTAGGACCTTCCCCTTCAGGTAGTTCCAGGTTTGCAGTCAGACCTTCGGCTTTTATACAGTATTGATATTAACTCTGGAAGCAGCACATCCCTGGAGAGAAGGGTCAGATCTGTCCTTGGTGAGTGCGCCCTGGAAGCAAAGAGGCTTAGTGGTCCCCACCCCCAAACTCCCGCCCACTCTCCCCCACTGCTCCTTTGAAAGAGGAGCTGAGGGGAGGTGTCTTATGGAAAGGGAACCAGCCTTTGTGTACCTTCAGTGTAGGGGCACAAGATGTGCACAATTTTACTCTGTAACCACTGCCAAGACGTCCGTGGCTGGGGGAGGGGAGCCTTGCAGCGCCTTCCAGGGTCGGAAGGAACCTGCCTCGAGGGCTCTGCGGAGTGGCAGAAACCGTTGCCACCTGGCGTTCTCTTCCTGTTCGTTGGTGGGCAGAAAGCAGCAAGAACCGCAGGCTTATATAGAGGAGCTGATCGCTTGATCCTCAGGGATTATTTGTTCCAGTTCTCAAGGTAGTATAGAAGAGGATGTTTTTTGTTTAAGACTTGTGGATGAATTCAGCACCCTGTCCTAGCAACATGTGGTCTTATTTGTCAGTTTTATTTTCACACTGGTGTCTGTCTGTTATCACAGGCCATCAGACCCACACGCTAAACATCCCTGCTATCACTAAATAAGGTGCTTGGGCCTCACACTGATTTAACATCCAAGGAATGTTTGTTGTACTCCAGAACACACTAATGTTTTTCTTTTAAGTTAGGTCTCCTTGTAGAGAGCACAAGAAAGAGCCACAAGCGTGTTCAGAGACAATTAACATGTGTGAAATAAAGATAAAATGAAAATAAAGATAACACTGCATGGTGCTTTAGGGAAAAATGACAAAACCATTCTAAGAAATTGCACTTTAGGGTACTGGGAGGGTAAGAGCCAGCACTGCCTTTTGTGTCCAGAGCAGAGCCAGCCTTTCAGTAGTAACTCGGTTTGCTCCTTTCTCTACAGACAAGGGAAAGTGTAGCTCCAGTATTGCTAGGATGCATTAAGGTGCTGCTTGAAAGATATTTAAATATCTTCTTAAACATTTTCTAATTTTCCCCCTTTTTTTCGTGTGATAGAGGAAAAATGGCAGGCAAAAAGAGAGAAATCCAGCTACAGGTAGGCATGACATGACATCAAGTTTTATTTGGTGCACTGGCTCTTGAAGACCATTTTCAGTGCCTTCTTTCCTTCAGGCAGTGATCAATAGTCAAACCCTATGGGATGAGATGTTGCAGAACAAAGGTCTCACAGGTATGAGGCTCCCCATTTTCAGCCTTTGTGACAGTTCAGCCCAGGGCCCCTAGTAGCACCTAATGCAGACCTCTGCTTCCCACTGTTCTTGCTTGCCCTCTCCCTTGCACAGTGGGGTAACCCAGCATTGTATATGCTGTTATTGCCTTTATGCTCTCACAAGTATTATCTTCTTCTAGTGATCGATGTTTATCAAGCCTGGTGTGGACCTTGTAAAGCAATGCAGACTTTATTCAGAAAATTGAAAAATGAGCTGAATGAAGATGAAATTCTACATTTTGCTGTTGTAAGGATTCCCCTTCTATTAAACTATTATTGTTACTAGATATTCAAATATTCCCTGTAAGGATTGGCTTCATTTAAACCAACTGTAAACTCTTCAAGATCAACATTATTTCTATATCAGTTTTACTCTATATTTGGTTCTGCTGGATTTTAGAACAAATGTGATTTTTATCCCAATCCTGTGATACTGAGGTTATTCACCATGTTTGTGAACATAAGTAGAAAAAAAGATGCCTTCAATTGACCTGTTTCTTTTCACCTGACCACATATTCAGTATATCACTTCAGAATAAGGACTGCAAATACTGTTCACTGAGTGGCTTTGGGTAGGACTCTATAATTACCCAATTCCAATTGTCCAGTGCTAGTGATTTTCTTCTCATTTGACACCCATATTCATCAAGAGATTAAAAAGTTACAGGCCAATTCATTGGACTTCACTATATTGATTATTCAATTTGTCCACACAAGTTAGCAGCTGCTCAAGACCCTCTCGATATGGCACCTGGCACAAGTGGCTTTTGAGTCCTCCACGTTTGTAGAGTCAAGGTAGGAACAAACTTGGAGGTACAGGTGTGGGCTGAGCATGGTGATAAGAAATAACAAGTAGGTATGGTAGGAGGATTAGACCACATATTTTGCGAGGCGCTCTTTTCAACTTGACTAGCACTGATGAGGATTTAGATTTGACAAATATTTCTTCCCCAGTTTCAAACACAGAAGCACCCTGGCCAGAGAGAATTGCTCAGCCTATCTCACAAGGAGTCTGTTCTCTATTCCACTGGGAAATGCTAACACTATCTTTCTAAAATATGTTCTAATCACAGTATCAGCATCTGTTGAATTTAACAACAAAACTGTGCATTGTCCCTAATGATCTCTGTCATGTCTGTATACACTCAACAAGAGTACATGATGTCAGCTTCTGCTATGATTTGTTCAAAAGGGGTGAAAAAAATTAATACAGGTTCCAAAAACTATGCTTACATAATGAAGGGGAAGGGGCATTCTCTGCTGGGTATTTTATTTTCTGCAGTTAACCTGAGAATGGCACTTTCTGACCTTGTATATATGTCTCAAATTCAAACCTATGAAACTGATTTCCTACTGAAATGACTGAATGCCAGTATACATTCTTTCTTTAGGTGACATTTTAAAACACTTGAAGACTAACAATGTATGTATGTACGTATATAAAAAGTCAGTAAATACTATTTACTGTAGTTTTTATATTATATATAATAAATGTTTTCATTGTTAATACTTTATGATAATATAAACATTATATGGTATACCTAGACTATTTTTAAATGTAATCTCTTATATGTAATAGATTAGTGTCTTTCAGCCCTTACCTTTCATGAAAGTAGAACTCAGGGAGAGAAAAAAAAATGTACAAGCAAATATGCTAAAAAAAAAAAGATTGAAACATCATCCCTTTGGCTGACAAAGGGATGCTGGGCCCTCCCTTTCTTGACAGGTATGGAGGAATTCCCAGAATCCCAGTTTGAAACCAAATCTCACAGAATACCCTACTACAAAGTGATCTCATTCTGACAGGAACACACTATTATTTAACATATAGTTGTTATAATCAATTTACGACAACTTGAAATTTAAGAAGCAATTTTAAGAAAACTTAAAAATATTTGATTAGCAGTTCATTTCAAAGCATTTTTCAAAGCAGTTCATTTTTTATGTATGAGCTCATGATTGATGCAGGAGGTGCAATGTGCAAAAATGAATATAACTGTTTACCCATGCACAAATCTCTCCTGCTAACCAAGGAGATGAGACAGGCCCATGTAACCATTGTGCCACACTGAAAGGGACAATTGCATGCTGAGAGAAGTGAAGTAAAGTGCTCTTCAAGTGGAGCAAGAGATGCCATCCAGCAGAGAGGAGAAAGAGTGACTCTTGCAGGAAAGAGGTTTGAGCTGGGTTGGAAACAGAAGGGTAGGAGAAGGGAGGGAGGGAAAAAAAGCACAGGTAGTGTATAGTATACTACAAGTAGTGGATTTAGTTTAAGAGTGGGACCAGAAAGAACAATGAAAAGTAAGGTTGAAGTTAAATGATGCCAGATCATAAAACAGCTGTAACGTGCTCAGAGGATGTTGCAATAAACATAAAGATGATATGGACCCTCTAGTTTTTGAACATAGTGTATCAAATTACTTGGATATGATTTTATTTTTTATTATATGAAATACCTATATATTTTTTTCAGGCAGAAGCTGACAACATTGTGACTTTGCAACCATTTAAAGATAAATGTGAACCTATTTTTCTCTTTAGTCTTGTAAGTAAATTACCTACCACTTTAAATGTGCCCTCAGATTGCATTTTAAGATTTATTTATTTATTTATTCATATGGAACTGGGGTACAGGCCAGAGATGTGAATGGTGAGAGGATTCACCAGAGATAGAGAGGGGAGCAGAACAGGCAGATCGACGATGTACATTGTTGAGGGGAGCAGCAGGCGGGTCAGGAGAGGTCTGCCTCGCCATGTGGATCATCTCTGGGGCAGGCAGGAATCGAACTCGTGGAAGTGGCTTTAGCTTTTTTGTGCTGTGCTTTAACCCACTGCGCCACCAGGGAGGGCCTCAGATTCCATTTTGCAGTTAAAAAGCAAGCATTACCATCTGAAAATTATCGATAAACTATTTTCTGAATAGGAATTACTGATTTTTGCTTCATCTTTGTTCATATTTTAAAATAGTTTGTAATGAATTTATATTAGACTACCACACACTGTGTTGATTGGGAAAAAGAAATACTAATAAGGAAAGTGAATGCACTAAAACTACTTTACACTCAGACTACCCCAGACATTAGAACCATCAATTTACCACCAAGTGTTTCTTACACTGACATATTTCTTTCCATCTCCATCACCAATGGCATCAACTGAAAATCGTCTTTCTTGCTTCATCTTTAGAAGATGAAGCTTCAAATTTGTATATAGGGCCTCTTCAGTGATCTTAGGGTTAAGTTTGTTTGTTTCTTTTTTTTTGAAGATTTATGAAGTTTAATGCTGTCACCACTATGGTCTGAGTTCCATCTGGCCAGCAAACTAACCCACATATGGCACAGGAGACCTCCTGTCTTGCCTGTTGTGCCCCTGAGCAGTGAATTTCAGTAAATCTGCCTGTTCTGCTCCCTACCCTATCTCTGGTGAATCCTCTCACCCTCTGCACCTCTAGCCTACCCCTTATCCCCCAAAAACCCAATCCAAATTTGTATACAACATCTCTTGTCCCTCCTCACCCCTCCCACCCTAATCATAGTTGTTGCTTCCATTTAAATATTCTGAAGACTTCTTACTGTACATAGGAAAAGACAAGGCTAAAGGTTAAAAATACCCTTTAAATGACCCACAAAACTGAACAATCATCTTCCCCCTTCTTCCTTTGGGCTTCATTTACTGCCAGGCATCCTCTCATCTTCTCAGCTCACCTTTAATTTGTTGTATTAGAACACTGGTAACATTATCCTTGCACCTGGGATAGTCTTTCTTTTCCCTTTTTACCTGGTTATCTCTTACCCATCCTTCATATTTTAAACCAAGAATCCCTTCCTGATTTCGATAAATACCCTCACTGACCTCCTTGATCGTAATATATCTTTACTGCTCCCAGTGCATCTCTCAGTGATACCTGTGGTAGTTGTTATCTTGTGTTTGCTTTGTTTTTTTCTTTTTGTAATTAATTAGGCATGATCAAGGACTGTGATTCCATACCCTCATATCTGCTACAGTATGTATAAATAGGTGTTTAGTGAATATATGTTGAATGATGGGCAAAAGTAATATAGTGGCAAATATAATTAGGGAATGTAATGTTGAAAGTCTGTATAGAACAGTGGGAATGTAATGTGGGGATGTCTTGCCTTTGGTTGTTTGAGGACAGAAAAGTTGAGGGTGGAACACAGAGACCTGGACTTATAAAACTGAGATATGTATTCACATCACTAATATCTTTTTAAAAAATAGCTGATTATTATAAGACAACCAGAAGTGTTGGT